CGACCAGTCGTGTCGAAAGGCATCCACCGCAAACGCCTCGCAGTCGGGGAAGGGCGTCACATAAATATAAACGCCAAGACCACGCCGACGCGAAAAGGTCCACGTCCGGGAGTCCATATGTCTGGCAGATCCAACGAAACCAGTCGTCGTCGACCATCCATTCCGTGGACGGGGGAATGAAGCGAGACAGGACATTGGACACTCCCTGGATATGAACCGCACGGAGAGCCAAACCCTGAGAATCCAGCAGACGAACCACTCGAAGGGACCAACCCCAAAGAGGCAAGGACCAAAGAGAACCCCCGCGGTTCAGGCAATGAACCACTGGAGAACAGTCCGAGTGGAGCCGTACGGTCGATCCCCGAGCGACCTGAACCCTCCGAAGTGCAAACCAGACTGCCGTGAACTCCCAAACCGTGCTGTGAGCCCGATGGAAGGACAGACCCCCACTGTCCCTGGCCGAGCTGATGAGCACTGGTCACAAAGCCCCAGCCGAGAGACAACGCATCCATGAACACATCGAGCCAAGTCTTGGGAAGGCGCCAAGGTACCGAACCCCAAAAACCCCTAAGAGGAAGCCAGCGACGCAGCAACCGACACAAGGCTATCAGAGGATCTTGAGGTTATCTTGAGATGACTTCGGGACTTTAGTGTCCCCGCGGCCCGGTCCTCGACCAGGCCTCCACCCCCAGGAAGCAGCCCGTGACAGCTGACTAACACCCAGGTACCTATTTTACTGCTAGGTAACAGGGGCATAGGGTGAAAGAAACTCTGCCCACTGTTTCTCGCCGGCTTCCGGGATTGAACACGGGACCACAGGATCACAAGTCCAGCGTGCTGTCCGCTCGGCCGACCAGCTCCCCTGTTCGGGTTCGGGTTGGGTTCGACCAGGATGAACCCAACGATCGCAAGAGAGGTGGAAGGGGCGTCCCCTGAAAGAACCAAAACAGACGCCGAAGTCAAACCCGACTTCGCAAGTAGACCAGCACAGCGAAGTTCAGACTCCCGCACAACTTCTCGAGCAACCACCGAGTGACCTAGGACCCCCTCAGCCAATGGCGGGACCGCAGCCACAACAGCGCCTCTGGAGGGAGAGACAAGGAAGCAGTCCGAGAATCCCAAACAAGACCCAGGCTGGTCTGAACCTGGGATGGAACCAGATGGGACTTCCTCCAGTTCACCAGGAGCCCGAACCTGGCAAGCTGGGTGCATGGGTGCCTGAGAAACTGCGAGACCGCAGCCTCTGCAAACAGCAATGGACAAAACAGAGATGAAAACCTAAGAGCCAGGGCCCAAGCGGATTCCAAAGAGAGGGCGAGCACAGCCTGATGGCATGCGAAGCGAGAAGTAAATAACAGAGACACCGCCTCCTTCAGGACGGGCGCAAGAGCTTCAACAGTGCACCCGACGCCCTAGCTGCCGGAGTCAGCATCCCAGACGAAGCCCCGTCACTCAACGCTTCCACATCCTCCTCAAGCCAGGCAGAAAACAGCTTGAGAAGGGAAAAGAAACGTAAGACCGAAGTCAAATGCCCACGGGTGCACAAATCCTCCACAACCAACGATGTCAAAAGTAAAGGTAAACCTGCAGAACCATAGAAGTTTCACGCCAATCAAGCGTGCGGGTCCGACAGACCCCATGCCAATGCCCCCAACGAAAAGAATGGACAGTCTGCCAGCCAGGAAGACTCTAGAACCTCTAAATGCACCCAAAAGTGGGCAGAAGAACCAAACTCGAAAATGGATGGATTCATCACAAAGGCATAAAACAAGTCTCGCAAGAGGTATGCAGCAAGAGCCTCCCGAGCCTCCTTCACGGAGATACGGGAAGTAGAAAACCTCTGGAAAGATGGAGCCGAGGAACCCAAAGGAGCCCGGAACCGAACCCGGGGAGGAGCCAAACCCAAATCATACTCATACAGGGAAAGGGGTTAAGGAAACCCCTCCTCCTGCAACAATAAGCCCTGCGAGGAAGGGAAAAGCACCCAAGCGGGTTCAAAGGGGGCCTCAAGGACCCCAGGTCAACTCCTCCCCAGCCCCAAAATCCCCCACGTTGGGACCCGGGGCAGAGCCGTCCTCTAAAACCTCTACCCCTGAAGAAAAGGCAGAGTCCAGGGGAAAGGCAGACAAAAAGGGGGTCCAACCAGACAATTCTGGTTGGACCCAGAAGCCTCGGCAGGAAGAATGGCTCAAATGCCTCCGTCCCCAACCCGAATGGGGCAGCCCCCGAAGCCGCCCGTGTCTCATTACCAACTAAACGCTGTGCCAAAACCGAAACCCTAACCCTCAGATGTTTGGGAGCAGGACACAGGGAGGAGGTGCAGGATGAATAACAGGGGAAGGACCAGGGAGCACGGAAGGAGTCAATCGAAGCGACTAACGTCCCCAGGTCCGGGTCCCTAAAACCAAAACGGGGCAGCCTCGGGGCATCCGGGTGGGAAACCAACCTAGCGCATTGCAGCAACCTAAACATAACATGCAACACGGATGCTGCCTGTATCCTAACAGCAACATCCTCAGAATAAAACTGGAGCACAAGCAGAGAACACGACTCGCAGGACTCTGGGTCAAAGATGTCGTTGACCCAACAGGCAGCATGACGGAGGCAAAACAGGTGACTGTCACCCCTGAGACAATGGCACACAGCAACCTTCAAACCCGCACAAGGCAGGCTGGAACTTGGGAAACACATCCATGGGTCCACCGAGCCCCGACAGGGGTTTCCAGGGCCAGTAAGGTAACAACTATGGAAAGCCCGGGCAAGGTGTTGCTAACCGATTAAAAAACCCAAACTAACAACGGGTAGAGGACAACACTGAATCCCCTGTAACATGTACAAGCATGGGGGGCCTAGCAGAGGGCCACCAAAACAGTATCAGGGAAACTATAGTCCCACGAGGCAGACCCCCGCCAGGCAAACAAAAACAAAACAAAACAAAAACCCTGCAAAAGTACACTGTCCCCAGAGGCAACAGGAATCGGTCGCCGCGTAGGTGGCAGGCCGCGCAACACCTTGACACCCTAACCAGCACAACACCGCTCCCTACCCGAGGCCAAACATGGGCCCCAAGCCCCAGCTGGCCCCAAGGGCGAGGCAAATGCCGAGCAGCAATAACCCCTACAGGAGCGGTTCCCGAACGCCCCAGGGAAGATAACCCTGACACACAGGGGCAGTACTCACAGAGTGCCTAGGAAAGGAAGCCCCTAAGCGCATGCAGCCCCGGCACCGATGAGGTACTCCTAGTCACCACACACCACGACTAGACAGCAGGAAACACCACACAGGCAAACACCGCACAGGAATTTGAGGCTAGAGTAGAGTCTGTCCCGGTTGACATTAGCTTACGAACTGATGCTAGGCAGCTGGCGCGGTGAGGTCCGGGGCCTCACTCCCCACTTGAAGAGGGAGGGCTGAGCGGATGAGCAGCGCGGCAGTAAAGTATGATGTTTGCTTGTCTGCTTGTTTCCTTGAGATTGTAGGGAGTTTCTACCTCTGTTCATTTTTTTGTTTTAGTTTCTTACCATGTGGGGATTTGTTTTGTTACACCCTACCATTCTGGGTGCCTAACCCCAGTCGATGGCAGATAAGGAAAAACCCCAACCACAAGGGGGATTTCCAGAGCCATTGCTCCTTGAAATCTCTCTGAAGGGGCCAGGTTCTGGCACTGGTCCCTGGTAGGTCTGAACTCCATAGCTAATGTCCCGGTCTAATATATATTAGCTCGATATGCTCCAGGGAGCCGTAGAGGCTCCCCACATGAAAAAAAAGTCCCAAAAGCAACACAAACAAACTGGCCGCCAAAGAGAATAATTGGCCGCCACATGTATGCAGACTGTGCCGGCCGAGGTGCTCCCCACCCAGCAAAAACCCACTCCCAGCCCAGGGCAAGACTGAAATCTCAAGACCCCCCATGCACCCCAAGGGCGAGAACAACGCCAAGCGACGAAGCCCTCAAACGGGAGTGAGACCCGAACAACCCAGGGAAAATAATCCTACAACGCAAGGGACATACTTACCAGGCACATAGAGTAGGTAGCCTTAGGCGCATACAGCCCAGCGTACTGAGAACACCTGTCCAACACCCCACACACACAGCTGGCTTATTCACAAAGTCAAAATTCCAGACAGGAAAGGGAGACCAGAGGATACATATTGACACCAGGCACATCAGTCAAGAACTGCGGTGGTAGGCTGCTGGTTTACCTGAGTGGGCTGGTGAGGGGGGGCACTAATGAGTGGGGGGGGGCACTGGATGACGATTTGTTTGTTTATCTTTTGGGGGAGTTCTTTGATTCTGTTCAGACGTAGGTTGCAATTTTTACCAGTTGGGGTTTGTATTGTTTCGCCTGTCTTTCTGGGTGCCCTCCCCGGTCAATGGCACACACGACATACTTTAAATGTAGTGCCATAATGGCCATTGCTGTAGGCACAGAACTCCCGTAACTGATGACAGCAAACTAATATGGCACATGTCAATTTGGATAGCTTAGGGAGCCGAAGCTTCCCACAGAAAAAATTGCCACTCAAATATATGACTTCCCATCCTCAAGTGTAACAAAGACTATCTAGCAAGTCGTCTGGTATTTACGTGCACGATATGCAGAACAACCAATTCATTGTTAAGACACCATCTATAAATGAGGATCCCAAACACTGGATAACCTACACTGAATATGAAAACAGAAAATTTTGTGTCATGATCTTATTCATTAATAACAATCATCCAACACTGGTAAAAGCACCCCTAGAAGTGATCATTATGGGTTGCACTACATGAAGCACAAGAGGCCACACTGCATCATGCTAATACATAAGTGCTTTAGTTTGAAGCAAATCCTTTGATGCTCTTGACATTAAAGCCCAGGAATGGAAAAACCATATATCAATTAAATAATTCAAAAGTACAAAATCCATAAAGTATAACTAATGGGAATACCTGCTACAACATGCAGACTTTCACAGCAACAAAAACACAAAATTCAGGTCGAGAATAATCATACCTGGTGCTTAATGCATTAGGCTGACTAGATGGTACCGGTGGTTCGCCAGGAACTTTTACATTATAATTAGCGTTGAGCCCATCAGGCCGATTAGAAGCGGGAGCAGGAGCAGGAGCAGCATTACTTTGAGGAGCATATATTTTACCAACATACTCTGGCACACTATGTTCATACCTAAAAAGTGTTCACATAATCAGAAAATGAGAGCTTAAATGGAGAAGGTAATACAAATATATCATTTTATTTATAAGTAATACTGTACAATAAGACTGTACCCAAATGTGTAAAAACCAAGAATGATGTGAGTAGTGCTTACCTATCAGTGACTACAGAGGAACGAGATCTAGCTGTTTATACCCCACCACCCAGCCATTTATACCTGGTGCAAATTACCTCTCTTAGCATTACATTATCATTACATTTATTTTTAAATTTGTGGGTGGAACTGGTTTCAACAACCTCTTCCTTCAATGTACTTCACTTGCCGACCACCCATACAGGGTGATCAGTATCTCTTACTCAATTGCAAGTCCAGCTTCCACTGTCCCTCTTCTCCTACCCCTTTTAATTGAAATACAGTACTGTACAGTACTTACTTTATCTACTTTATCTATTCTCCTCAAGATCTTGTATGTAGTTATCATATTCCCTCTGTTTCTTCTGTCCTATAATAAGGATGAGTTCTCTCATTTGTTCTCATAGCCGAGACCTCTCAATTCTGGTACTAATCTAGTTGCAAACCTCTGAACTTCAACAAGTTTCTGTTAATACTTCACAAGGTGCAAGTTTTTAAAGCCTTGTTTAGATTCTTAAATGACATTCTTATGTTTGCTAACTTCTCATATGCTGCTGATGTTATCCTGTTCACATGAGCTTCTGGTGTTATTTTTGAGATTATGACTACTCCCAGGTCTTTTTCTCTTATTGTTTCTTTTAACTGCCTTGCCCTTATGGCATAGCTAAATACAAATCTATCTCCCTTACCTATTTTTATTACTTTACACTTACAGTATTTGGATTGAATACCATCATCCATTTATCGGTCCACTCCCGAAGTTTGTTAAGATCTTCTTGGAGCACCCTACAGTCCTCTTCAGATCTTACTCTATACCTGTCGTATACCTGTTGTTGATTCTATGAATCAACATCCCCATGGCCCTGTCTCAGACCAGGCCTCCTCAGGGTTGGTGGTCTGGCCAACCAGGCTGTTCGGTGCAGCTGGTTGCAGCCTGACGTATAAGTCAGTCTGGTTATCAGGCATCCTTTGAAGGAGTTTGTCAAGTTCTTTTCTAAACACAATGAGAGGTTAGCCAATTATGCCCCGTATGTGTAGAGAGAGCGTGATGAAGTCTTGGGCCTTTGATGTTGATTGAGTTCTCTCTCGGTGTGCTAATTGCATCTCTGCTTTTAATTGGGGCTATTTTACACATCCTGCCATGCCTTCTGTTCTCAAGTGGTGTTATTTCTGTGTGCAGATTTGGAACTAGTCCCCTCTAGTATTTTCCAAGTGTAAATTATTATGTACCTCTCTCGCCTGCACTCTAGGGAATACAGATTAAACATTTCTAAACAGTCCCAATAATTTAGACATTTTATTGAGTGAATTCTAGCAGTAAAAGATCTTTGCATGCTCTCCAGGTCAACAATTTCTCCAGCTTGTTGCACAATAACAGTCGGAGCTGTTAGTGTGCAACAATGTTCCACTTGAGAGCATATCTTAAAAAGTATCTTCATTGGTGTGGCATCTCTTGTTTGGAAGCTTCTTGTTATCCAACCTATCATTTCTCTTGCAGTTATGACAGTTATTTTGTTATGTTCTTTAAAATTAAAGTCTTCTGACAAGATTACTCCTAAATCAATTAACAAAACTTTTCTTTTCAATAGTGTGGTTTCACTGCATTTTACATGAAGTTCCTGTTTTGATATTTTTGTTTTTCAATAGAGCAGTAACTGGAACTTATCCTCATTAAACGTCAAGCTATTTTCTGTGGCCCAATGAAAGGTTTTATTAACATCCGATTGGAGGTTTTGTGTGTCTTCTATAGTATACTTTAACCCTTGTGCTGCTCCGCTATTAATAGCTTCAACACTGCCAGGCGCAAAAAAAAATAAAAATCATCTTATAAAAGTGTTCATTTGTGTTCTCTGATCACAGGAAAATTAAAAGAAAAAACTCGTAGGTGACATTCTGGCCACAATAGGGTGGGGAAGTCTGGCAAAATTGAGGCATTGACGGGAAGCCAGTGTCATAGGCAGTCTGCTCCACCCTTGCTGTCAGGCAGGAGGGATTGCCACAAAGATATTATTACCTAATTATTTCAATGTCTCTGATTTTTTCTGTTTTTTTTCAGTAATATTATTCAAAAGTGTGTAGTGTGATATACTGTATTTATATAATAAAATGTGTGAATCATCGCTATACTCAAAAGTATTGTGAGCATATTAGCATATTAGGACCCCAAGTCCGGGTCCCTAAAACCTAAACAGGGCAGTCTTGGGGCATCTGGGAAGCGACCAACTTATCGCTTTGCAGCAACCTGAACTTAGCATGCAATGCAGCTGCTGTCTGCACCCTCATATCATGATCATTAGCTTGGATGAGCTGGAGCACTTACAAATAAGAAACGTCGCACGACTCTGGGTCAAAATAATCACCGACCCTACAGGCAGCAAGGCGGAGGCACAGCCGGTGATTGTCACCAGGAGACAAGAGGACAGAGCAACCATCAACCTCGTACAAAGCGAGAGGGGACTCAAGGGTCACATCAATCGGAACACGGAGCTCCTGCAGGGTTTTCCGGGGCCCCTGAGCTTTGGCAATACGCTAAGGGAAACCCAGGCAGGGTACTGTGAACCTGCGCCCAAAACTACTAAGCAAACTTCCAAGAGCTGAACCCCCAGGACGTGTCCACTCACGGGGGCCAAGCAGGGGGTACCACCAAAAACACAGATATGTCTATATAAATATAGGGGGGCAACCAACCAAAGGCAGACCCCCCTCCCCCAACAGGCAGGAAAATAAAAACAAAAGAAAAACCCCGCAAGAAGACAACGTACCCAAGCGGGACAGACCCGGTCGCTAAGAGGTGATAGCTAGCTGTGCAGTACCCTGCGCCCCTACCAATGATGAAAATTACCCCCTACCCAGAGACAAACAAGGGCAACAGAAACCCCAGCTGACTCCAAGGGCAGCCAAGTACCGACCAGTAAAAGACAGCAGAGGTAGATCCCAAAGTGACTTGTGGAAGGTGGCCCCAAGCCCCAAGGGCAATACTGTACTTACAGGGCACCTAGGGAAGGAAACCCTAGGCGCATGCAGCCCGATTAACGTAGAATATTACTTCTGGCTAACACCCCACCTGTAGAGACAGCCCACGCCACAAGGCACAGAAACTGAAACAGGAGCCAGAGGCCAGAGTTTTTTTTTCGTATTTTTGACATTCAGCCTCTGAACTGGGGTTGGATCGCCAACGTGAGGGGGGGGGCAACCCCCCCTTCCCCCTCCCGGGGAGGGGGGGGTTGCACAGACAGCGGGGCAGCAATGTGATGTCATGCTCATTTACTAATTTTTGTTTGGGGAGTTCTGTCCACTCGTTTGGCTATCGGTAGAAATATTTTCACAAGAATAGTGGTTTACTTTGGGGCCCCCTACCTTTCTGGGTGCCAGACTCGGTCAATGGCAGACATAGAATGCCTCTAACCACACAGGGATTTCTATAGGCCATTGCTCCCTGTACTTCTCTGAGGGGGGGCCAGGTTCTGGCTCGTAGTCCCCAGTAGGCAAGAACTCCATGCACTTTGATGTCAAAAAGCTAATAATGCCATATCAGCCTGGATAGCTCTGGGGAGCTGATGGGGCTCCCCCCAGAAAAAGGAGAGAGAGAGAGGGAGAGAAGATGGAGGTGGGGGGGGGGGGGGAACAGGGGGTTGGGGAGGAAAAAAAGAAGGGAAATGGAGTAGGGAAGAGGTGAAAGAGCAAGAAAGGGAGGGGAGGAGAAAGGAAATTAACTGGGATGAAAAGGATGTTGGAAATTGTTAGAAAATGTATCAATAAATTCATAAGTTTTTTAAATTTGTTAGATCTCCCCAACTATTGAAAGATTCAGTACATGTACTTGCACCATCAGCTTTTATTGTAATTATTTATTACATTTATATCTTACCTGCACTTATCCCCATAGGCGCAGGTTCCCTTCAAGTAATACCGGCAGAACATAGATGGCTGTGCAACAGCAGGGTCATGTGAAAATCGGCATTGGTCTCCTTTATTGCACACATTATTTATGAAGTATCTGTTGGAGGGGTAAGACAATTAAAACTTATTTTTGGTTCAACCAAAGTTCTTTCAATGGTGAAGAAAACTACACAGTAATTTCCTGCTTTGACAAAATAAATATACAAGACTGGAATCTATTTGTCAGTGGTGTGAAACTGCCCCTACCTGATGGCAGTAACTAATTATCACAAGATGGCACCAAGCCAGGGAGACTGTGTCAAATCAAATCAAATCAAATGTTTATTCAGGTAAAAGTACATACATAGAAGATTAGTTACAAACATAATGTTGGATTTATAAATAGAGCTAAGACATACAATACCTAAAGCCACTAGTACGCATAGCATTTTGGGTAAATGTAGCATGTAGATGAACCTGAACCTGATGGAAGCCAGTTACATTACAAACATTCATGAAAATATTATTGTGCTTAAGTCAGTGCCTCATGAGATTAAGAAATATTCAAAATCTGTTTTGTTCTTTTCTGGTAAGTTCTTGTACTGGCCATCACTCACGTTAAATTAATGAATGTTAATAGAGTTGTACATAAGGAAAGACCATACAAGTGAAAACAGTGCATGTGAAGTGATAGTAAATAAAGTTAGGTGGAAGCAGCAGCTTACAAGAACATTGGCTGAGATACTGCCATGGATGACTTGTTGGAATGTGGTTGATGCTGGTTCTTTGTTATGTGGCAAGTGAGGGAAGTAGTGTGAAAGGACAAGTGTCACTGGATTTCTTTCACCCTCATCTATCTAGTTTAGGCAATTGCCTTTCCCCACGTCCCCATGAAACTGGGAAAAGGAGTAATGAATATATATACAGTAAAGATTAACCTATAGAGAGCAGTATGTAAATTGTAAAAAAAAACAGCGTTGAATGTAATGAAACACCATTTTCTGGGTGAGTCCTGGAGGCTCCCCGGAGCTTTCCCAGGCTGATATGCTAATGTCAGACTTTGGCATCAGTCATGTGTATGGAGTTCTTAGGCCTACCAGGGACCACGGCCAGAACCGGGCCCCCTCAGAGAGGCACGGGGAGCAATGTCCTATAGAAACCCCCGTGTGGTTGGAAGCATTCCATGTCTGCCATCGACTGGAACAAGCACCCAGAAAGGTAAGCGCCTCAAAACAAACCCCTATTCTGGTTAAAATTGCTACCAAAAATCAAACCAGTGGATAGAACTCCCCAACAGAAAACAAGCAAACTAGTGTGACGTCATACGTCGCCATGCCACTGTCTGCACAGCTCCCCCCTCCCCGGGAAGGGGAAAGGGGGAGCCTCCGGGACTCACCCAGAAAATGGCGTTTCATTACATTCAACGCTGGTTTTCTGGGGATAGCCCCGTCGGCTCCCTGGAACTAATTACCCACAGACGCAAAAAGAGGGACTTACCCGGGAGGCGGTCATCGCTCACTCCTCAACTCGAAGTCGAGACAACTGGCTGCAACCGCCGACCCAAAGCAACACAGGCCCGACGAGGCCCAGGGACATTCACGAGGTAACGAGCAGCCAGGACCCTGTTCGACCGCCAAAAACCCCGCGCCCGAATATCAGACCAAGACATATTCCCAAAGACGGCAGCAAGAGCCGCGAACTTACGGACGTCATGGGCACGGGGATAAATCGCAGGCTGGCTGGACTTGATAACCCTGCAGACAACCTGGAAGACCTGAACCCACGAACAGGAAAGAAGGGAAACCGTATCAACCCAAAGCACGTCCCCGGACACAGAAGCCGTGGCGCGCAAATAACGGCGAAGCGCCGCAACCGGACACAAAACATGATGCACCCCCAGCCGTACCAACCAAGCATCAACCACCCACGGACCCCTCCGGAATGCAGCAGTCTCATTCTTCGCCAGAAAAGAAGGAGACGGCTGCAAGCGAACAAAACAATCCTACGACCAAAAGAGCAGGAACCCCTGTGCCGGAGGAGAGCATGAAGCTCCCCTACCCGACCCCCAGAGGCTAATGCCAACAAGAAAACAGCCTTGGAGAAACAATTCCGGACCAAAGGGACCACAACGAAACGAGGAGACGAAAGGTAAGAGAGCACTCTGTCTAAAGACCAGGACGGCTCAGGCGGCGCATGAGCAGGCCAGAGGTGAAACAAGGCACGAGACAGCTTGCGAAACAGCGCAGACGTAACATCCATACCGAAGGCAAGCTGAAGCGGCTCCGCCAGCGCCACACAATATGAGGCGACAGTGTTAGGCATAAGATGACAGTCCTGAAACAACCAAGAGAGAAAGGACAAGACCATCCAAACAGACAACGAACTAACATGACGAAGACGCAAAAAAGAAACAGAAGGACCGCTAGGAATCTTCATACTGCCTCCCAGAAGAAGCCCTCTGGTGGGACACCAACAAAGAGGCCACCTGATCACCATAGATGATAAACTTGAGTCAAAAAATCCATACGCGAAGACTCGAGGAGAAGATCGAACCAGCCACGTGACGTACCAGCCCGATCTGCTGAAAGAGGCGGAGCCGCTGGAAAACTCTCGGGTTCGGACACTGGGCAAGCAGTGCCTGAAACCAAGGCTGGGCTGGCCACCAAGGGGCCAGAAGGACAACTCTTCCCTGGTAAGTCTTTAAGCGACTCAGGCTCTGGAGTAACAGCCGAACCGGGGGAAAGAGATAAAGGAACCCCCACCTCGACCAGTCCAGCCGAAAGTCATCGACCCCGACGGCCTCGCGATCGGGGAGGGGCGCCGCGACCACGCCGACGCGAAGAGGTTCACCTCGGTGCGCCCGACCGTCCATTCCGAGGAGAGAGCAACGAAGCGGGACAGGCCATCGGCCAAGACGTTGGACACTCCCCGTACGTGAACCGCCAGGAGAGCCAAACCCCGAGAACTCAGCAGACGAGTCACCTGAAGCGACCAACCCCAAAGATACAAGGACCGCATTGAACCCCCGCGGTTCAGGCAATGAACTACCGGAGAGTAATCCAAATAGAGCCAAATCGTCAATCCGCGGGTGACCCGAATCCTCCGAAGAGCAAACCACACTGCCGCGAACTCCTGCACCGTGTTGTGAGCTCGACAGAAGGACGGATCCCAACGCCCCTGGCCAGCCTGGTAAGCACTGGTCACAAAGCCCCAGCCGAGAGACGACGCATCCGTGTACACATCGAGCGAGGGCTCAGGTAGGCGCCAAGGCACTGAACCCCCTTAAAACCCGAAGAGGAAGCCGGCGACTCAGCAGCCGACGCAAGGCCCCCAGGGTTTGAACCCAGTGAACGCGAGAGAGAGGCGGAACAGGTGACCCCGAAGGAACCAGAACAGCCGACGAAGCCAAACCCGACCCGGCGGGTAGACTACCATCGTGAAGTTCAGGCTCCTGCACAGCCCCTCGAGCAACCGCCGGGTGACCCGAGGGCCCACCAGAAACTGACGAAGGCGGGACCGCAGCCGCAGGAGAGACTCCGGAGGGAGAGACAAGGAGGCAGTCCGAGAGTCCCAAACGAGACCAAGCCAAGTCCGAACCTGAGAGGGGACCAGAAGGGACTTCCTCTAGTTCATCAAGAGCCCGAACCCAGTGAGCTGGGAAAGAACCAAATCCCTGGCTAGCAAGCAAGCCGACCGGCTGGGAGCCCAAACCAGCCAGTCGTCGAGGTAGGCCAAAACCCGAACACCTAAGAGACGCAAACGGGCTACCACGACCCGCGTAAAGCCCGTGAACGCGCGAAGTGCCAGGGGTTCAACCCAAACGGGAGACAATGAAAGCAGTAACTCAGATGCCCCACAACAAAACCGAGCCAGTCCCTGAACCGCGGATGAACTGGGACATTCCAATAAGCATCCCGGAGGTCCAGGGACACCATCCAAGCGCCTGGCTCCAAGAGGAGCCGAACCTGAGACAGCGTAGTCATCCGAAAGGAGGGGCAATGAACCCAGGGGTTCAGATGGGATAAGTCCAGAATGATCCGCAGGTCCGCGCAGTGCCGTTTTGGGACCGGAAACAGACGGGAAACCCATCTGAGGGATGACGTCGTTTCGACGACACCCAAGCGAACCCACTCCGAGATGACCTGACAAAGCGCAGGGGAAGAAACCTGCCCTGCCAGCCCCGACCCCCTGAAGGGGGGGGCCCACCCAACGCAGGCCGACAGACACGACCCGAAACGCCCACAAATCGTGGGACCAGGCAAGAGCGAACAGCGCAAGCCGCCCCCCATCGCCCTGTCAATTGGGCAAACCACAAAAGGGCCGGCACCCTTTACGAGATCCAGAACCCCGCACAGAGCAAACACCGCACCGACCAGATGATGGCGGGTTCGAAGCAGGAGCCGAACCAGAACCTAACACCAGTGGCCTACCACAACGAGAGGAACCCCGAGCCCTGGCACGACCCTTCTGGGAAGACCCATCCCGGGACCCCCGGGAAAACCAACAAGTCCGACATCGGATGACAAGCCGATGACGCAGCCTGAATAAACTGCCCCACGGCCGACTCCACAAACAGAAGAGGACAAAAAGGCGATGACAGCCTAAGAGCCAGAGCCCAAGCAGATTCCACGGAGGAACCCAGCACCACCTGCCGACACGAGACGGGAAGCATAAAACAGGGAAACCGCATCCCGCAAAATCGCCGTGAAAAGCTTCAACAAGGCAGCCGATGAATGCGCTGCTGAGGACAAGGCGCCGGAACCCGGGACGTACCCAAGCATCCTCACATACTCCATGAGCCAATCCGAGGACAGCTCCAGGAGGGAAAAGAACCGCAAGGCCGAAGCCAAAAAGCCCTGGGCGCACAAGTCCTTCGCCACGAGCGCTGCCGAAAGGGTGGGAACCTGCACATGGAGCTGAACAATGCCCACATTGCGGGGAAGGGCAGGGGCAAAAAAGCACTCATTCAGGTACTCAAGATCACCCCCAGGAAAACCTGAATCACCGTGAAAGCTTCCCGCCATTCCAGCGTGCGGGAACGACAGAAGGAATGCCAGGAATCCATAACAAACAAGGGGCAGTCCACTAGCCAGGAAGACTCCGGAACCTCGTAATGGA